TTGAACGTGAATGCATCTAGCCAGTCTCGCGACACGGTGATTGCCCGCCGCTTGCCGCCAGCCTTCTCTGCTACCCCACTGGCGTCTTCGGCTCGGCTTAGGGATTTGATTTCCAGGGGCGCGGTTTCTCGGGGCGTCTTGGACCGCACGTTTGCTGCGCCTTCTTATGCGGACCCCAGGCTCCCGAAAGCGCCAGCGATGGTGGTGCCTAAGGCGGCCCCCACCAATACTAAGGGAAAGGGAGGTGGTCGTGGGACAGGTCGTCGTGGGAGTCGCGGGCGGAGGGAGGGAGGGATTCTCGAATCTGAGGCGGCCTCGGCCGCCTCCTCTGGACAAAGCCCTTCCTCTCCTCCCCCCCCGCCGTCGATGGGGGGTGAGGTTTCCTCTCGCCCCATCGCGTTTGTCCGTGAGGGTACGCGCTGAAGCCTGGCCCTCTCAGCTGGGCATCTCCCTGGCTGCGCGCCCTGATGGGAGACCGCTCGGTAGAGGCGGCGCGGGTGGGCACCCGACTGGCCCCCCCTCCCGCAGGGAGTTCCGAGCTGCAGACGCAGCGCGCAGGGCTTGGCGATTCTTCGAGTTCGTGGTTTCAGGAGCCCCATTGCGTTGTTCTATTATTGTCTATTCTCTTCTTCCTTCTGTACATCCTTATCTCCCTCCTCCATCGTCCCCCTCCGCGTAGAAACCTCATCTCCCTGGGGCAATTCCTAGACGTTGTCCTCCTCCTCCTCCCCCTCCCCCTCCCCCTCCTCCTCCTCCTCCTCCTCATCCTCCTCCTCCCCTCCCTCATCCTTCTCATTATTTACCTTCCCGACGCACGCTTCATGTTCTTTATCGTCCTCCTGCCCCTGCTCGCCATGCTCCTCCTTGTAATCTTCGTGCTCTGCCTCGTGTTCCGCCCCCTCCTCCTGTCGCAGTGCTCCCATTCCTCCTCCTACGCCTGCTCCTCCTTGCCCCCTTCCTCCTCGCAGTCCTTTTCCTCCCCCCCGTCATCGTGTTCCTCCTCCTTCCCCTCGTTCTCCTCCTCGTCTCTCCTCTTCTTCGCTTTCTACCCCACTGCAGGGATGCCTTCGCATTGTCGACGCTGCTTCCAGGAGGCCTCCTTGCCATGAGTGCCCTAAAACAAGTAGTTTGGGCCTGATCCCATCGCTCTCGTCCATGATTCCTGTTTCCTCCCCCCTCTTTCCTGCCTCACCCTGCCTCCTTCTTACTCACCGCGCTCTCGCTCGAGGAGTCTCCACGATTTGCTCAGGCATGGCTCCCCCCCGAGAAACCTGAGGAACTTACGAAGGAATCGCGCTCGCGCGTCAGCGCTGGCTACCTCTTCCGTCGGACCAGGGGCGCCAAGACCTTCAAGCAAAACAATACGGACAATTCGTTGTGATTTGTTTGGGTCTTCTCCTCCTCCCTCCTCCTCCCCCTCGGAGGCCAGACGTGCGAAGATGTCTCCGGCGAGACGCGCCAGACGACCTCGCGCGCAGCATGCGAGCGTGGTTCCAGCGAGGTAGGCCAGACCACCTCGAGTACATGTTCTCGGTGCCCAGAGCTGCAAGGATGTCTCAGGCGAAACGGGCCAGATAACCTTGCGCGCGGCATCTCGGATCTCAGGGTTGCACGGATGTCCCGGGCGAAATTCGCCAGACCACTTCGCGCACGGCATCTCGGAGACCAGAGGGCCGAAGACATTTCGGGCGACGCGGCCCGGGCCACCTCTGGCCCGGCACCTCGAAGATCAGAGTTGCGAGGGCGTGTCATGCGAGGCGTGCCAGACCACCTCGCGCGCGCAGCAGCTCGGAGCCCTGACGTGAGGATGTCTCGGGCGAAACGCGCCAGTTCACCTCGCGCGGAGCATCTCACAGCCTGGAGCTGCGATGAAGTCTCAGACGAAACGGGCTGGGCCTCGCGCGCGACATCTCTGGGAACCCAGTTGCGGGTATGTCTCAGGCGAAACGGGCTGGACCACCTCGTGCGCGACATCTCTGGGAGCCCAGATCTGCGAGGAGGGATCAGGCGGCGCCCAGACAACTCGCCGAACACAATTCGACAGCAGAAGGGGAATCAAATGGTTCGTTTGGGTTTAACCCCTCCTCCCTCCTTCCTCTCGGAGCCCAGAGGCTCGAAAATATCTCAGGCTGAATGCGCTGGACCACCTCGCAAGCAGCATACCGGAGCGTAGAATTGCGAGGAAGTCTCAATCGAAACTGGCCGGATCACCTCGCGCGCGGCGTTTCGGAGCTCAGAGTTGCAGAGATGTCTCAGGCGAAACTCGCCAGACCACCTCGCGCGCGGCAGATCGGAGCGCAGAGTTGCGAGGATGTCTCAGGCGAAACGCGCCGTTCCATCATTCGTGCTGCATGCGAGGACGGCGGCGCCAGACCCGTCCCAGAACACAATTCAAGAACAGAAATGTATTCAAATGGTTCGTTTGGGTCTGACCCATCCTCCCTTCTCCCTCTCGGAGCCCAGAGTTTCGAGGATGGTTCAGGCGAAACGCGCAGGACCACCTCGCGCGCAGCATGTCGGAGCCCCGAGTTCGAGGATGTCTCAGGCGAAACGCCCCACGCCCGGAGTTGTGAGGATTTTTGCGGAGAAACGCGCCGGATCACCCAGCGCGCAGAATCTCGAAGCCCAGAATTGCGAGGATGTCTCAGGGGAAGCGGGCCAGACCATTTGTCGCGCAGCATCTCGGAGCGTAGAATTGCAAGGATGTCTAAGGCAAAACGCGCCTTACCACCTCACGCGCGGCAGCTCGGAACTCGCAGTTGCGAGGATGTCTCGAGCGAATCGCGCCAGACCGCCACTCGCGCGGCACCTCGGAGCCGAGAGTTACGAGGGTGTCTGAAGCGAATCGCGCCAGACCACCTCGCGCGCGGCATCTCGGAGCTCAGATTTGTGAGGATGTCTCAGGCGAAACGATCCGGACCACCTCGCGTGCGGCACCTTGGAGCTCAGAGTTGCGAGGATGTCTCAGGCGAAAAACGCCAGACCACCCCACGTGCGGAGTTGGAGCCCAGAGATTCGAGGATGTCTCGGGCGAAACGCGCCGGACCATCTCTGGCGCGACGTCTCGGAGCTCCGAGATGCGAGGATGTCTCGAGCGAAGCGGACTGGACCACTTGCGCACGGCGTCCTGAAGATCAGAACTGCAAGGGTGCATCGGGCGAAAAACGCGCCAGACCACCTCTCGCGCAGCACCTCGAGGATCAGAGTTGGGAGAATAGATGCATCGGCTTACGCCACACCGCCGACCCCCTGGGGGCGGCAGCAATCGTCCCTCGCGTGGCCTGTCCGGACAGCCTGTGAGGCCCCTCTGGATACGGGGGTGGACAGACCTCCTACCTTGACACGTCGATTAAAGAGTTGGCCGTTTTCGGTTCGCGAGAGGGCGTCGCGGCCGTCATTTTTGCGGGCCCAGGTCCGTCGCTTTCGGTCCCAAGCCGTTTTCACTAACGGGAGGTTCACGAAAGGGAGGTTTGTCCACCGCCGATCTGGACACGTGTTGGAGCCCTCTCATAGGACCGTCCTGCCGGGTTCCCCCGGGCCGGTGCTGCGGTTCCTGGGGCCTTCATGGGGGCGCCCAGCGGCCGTCGTGGAGCCTTCTGGGGGGCCGCTCGGGGTGCCAGAGGTCGATCTTGGAGGTTTACTGGGCCGTTGTGGGCCTCGTGGGAGCCCAAGAACCGAATATGCTGAAACTGTGCGCTCTCCCCAGGGAATGGGACGGCGTCTGCTTCTGCAGGCCTGCTTGGAGCGCCTCGTGGTCGCGTGTGCAAACCTCTTGGACGCCCATGGGGCTGTCTGCCGGCAATCGTTGGCGGTTTGGACCGAATCGTCCCCCGCGTGGGCCGTCTGGACAGCCTTTGGGAGCCCTCTTGGCCTGTTTTGGAGCCCTCTTGGGACCGTTCTGCGGCTGTCCTGGGCCGTTGCTACCCCGCGTGGGCCGTCCGGACAGCCTTTGGGGGCCCTCTTGCCCCGTTTTGGAGCCCTCTGGGGACCGTCCTGCGGTTTTCCTAAGCCGTTGCTATGGTTTCTGGGGCCTTCGTGGATCGCCCGGACGCCGGCTTGGAGCCTTTTTAGGAGCCTCTCGGGCTGGCGAGGGTCGATCTTGGAGGCTTCTTGGGCCTTTTTGCGCCGCGTGGAAGTCGAATGGGCGAATGTGGTGAAAATGCACGTTTTCCGTAGGAAATGGGACGATTGTTGCTTCTGGAGGGCCTCTTTGGGGCGCCTCGTTATATTGTCTCAAACTTCTTGGAGACTTTGGAGCCGTGTGGAGGCAATCTTCGGCGTTTGGGGGCGATCTTTCGTCGATTCGCAGCTCTCTTGGACTGTTCCGGGAACCTTTGGAACCTTTTTGGCATGTTTTGGGGCCTCCTTAGGCTCCAAGTGTGCGGATGATGAATTTGCCTCCCCCCCCCCTCCAAACCGGCCGGACCAGGCCCCTGGGGGAGGGGTTTGGGGAGGGGGAAGCATCTCACACGCCGTGACCCCAAGGGGTCGGCGGATTTTAAGCGAAACGCGCCAGATCACCTCGTGCACATCATCTCGGAGCTCAGAGTTGCGACGATACCTCAGGCAAAATGGAACGGACCACCTTGCTCAGCGGCATCTCGGAGCCCAGAGTTGCGAGGCCGTCTCAGGCGAAACGTGCCAGACCACCTCTCGCGCAACATGTCGGAGCCCTGATTGCAAAAATGTCTCAGGCGAAACGCGCAGGACCACCTCGCGCGCAGCAGTTGAGAGCGCAGAGTTCTGTGGATGTCTCAGGCGGACCGCCCAATCCTGCCCAACTCAGAATCGAGAGTTGTGAGGATGTATCAAGCGAAACGGCCCGGACCACCAAGGTTGGTTGAGGATGTATCTGCGGGGGGTCCCTCGACCAGAGATAGTTTCGACCACAGCACCCCATTCAGCAAGCGCTTTGGGGGAATAAGCAATCGAGAAACCTCTCAGAGCGTCCGCGACGCTCAGAGCGTTCCAGAGCGCTCCGGAGCGGCCGCGATGCCCGAGAGATCCTCCAGAACAGCTGGATCTCAGAGATCCTTGGTTTTTGTGCTGCTCCGATCCTTTCCCGTGTGCTGCCATAGTTTTAGCCCAAGGCCGCTCCACAACCCGCCAGCGGCGCGGCGGCGGTTTTAGCAGGATAACGCTGCTGCGTGCTTCAATGGCACACTGCCAACATTTTCCCTGGAGTGTCAAGGCACCTGCCCGCATAAGAATGCTGTGTCTGTGCTCCTCCTCCACCTCCTCCACCTTCTTCTCCTACTCCTCCTCCTCCTCCTCGTCCTCCTCCTCCTCCTCCTCCTCCTCCTCCTCCTCCTGGTCCTCCTCCTCCTCCTCCTCCCTCCTCCTCCTCCTCCTCCTCCTCCTCCTCCTCCCCCGCCTCCTTCTCCTCCTCCTCCTCCTTTTTGCCGTCCGCATCCCTACTTCCTGCCTCTCTTGCTCCCCCTCTCCATCCTCAGCGAGAGCCAGCCCTGGCTCGCAAGACCCGACCGGGGCGCGGCTGGTGCCAACCTCGGAGGGGCAGCGCACAATCTCGGGCAGGTGGCAGTGTCAAGTAGTGGCGGAGCGTCTTGGCTCGCCTATAGGCCCACCAAAGAATGGTCCAAGAACCTTGCTGTGGTATGCACGAAATCTTCGTAGAACATTTTTGGCTGAGACTGCTTGTTTGCACACATCGGGCTCATGTTCAAAGAGCAGTGCTTCTGCTTTTCGAACACGCTTGTGCTCTAAGGTCACTTCGTGGTGGGCCTCTGGGAATGCCGGGACGGTCGGCCCCTGCTCAACAGTGCAGGGAAAATCAATGATTTTGGCCTCTTCGGGCCCTCCTGGAGGACCTCTCGGAGGCCTCCTGGGCCGTCTTGGAGGCCTCTTGGGCACCTCTTGGGCCGTCTTGGGCCGTCTTGGAGCTTTCTTGGGCGGCCTTGGAGGCATCTCCTCCTCTCTTGGGCGGACTTGGAGGCCATCTTGGACCATCTTGGAGGCCACCTTGGCAGGGCCCCAGGAGGGGCCCTTCCGGGTCCCTCTTGGAGCCGGCAGGGGCCCCGAGGGGCCCCCTCCCGGGCGAGCTTCTTTCTTCGGGCGTGCGCGGGGCCTGCGTAGGCCGGCAAACCCCTCTCGGCTCCCCGCCGGCGCCTCCCGACGAGCACGCGCTGGACTTCTCGGCGGTGCAGCAGTCGTGGGAGGGCTGCGGCGGGAGCTGGCGTCGGGTTCCCAGGCGGTCCCGTCATCTCCAGGGTGGCCCCGCCAGGCCAGCCCCCGAGTCCCCCAGACCCGAGTCCTGCGTCTCCCCGATGCTTCCCCCCCCCCCATGCATTGGGTGGCAACTCATGGGAGCCTTGCCCTCTTCATTCTGTCTCTAGCGTCGATTAGCGTCGGTTAGCGTATGGGAGTCGATGAGATGGCGCCGATTTGGCGTCGGCTAGTTCGCGTCGAACGTCGATTAGCGTCGATGAGCGCAAATTCGCGAGGGCCGACAAGATGGTTTGGGAGGCTCCCAGGAGCTGCCACCGAACAAGTTGGGCCAACCCCCGGTGCCACCTGCCCGACGATCGCCCCCCAAGCGGGGCGTCCCGCCGCGGGCCGGTGCCCCCCCGCGCGCTGGCCCCGTGCCCCGCAGGCCAGGCCGCGCAGCGGCGCCCCGAGGGGACCGCGCGCGCCCCGGGCACTGCGCCCAGCGGCGCAGCGCAAGCGCACCCAGCCTCCTCCACGCCGCGACACCGCGCGGGAGTGAAAAGCCCCGCCTTGGCTCTCCTCCTCCTCCTCCTCCTCCTCCTCCTCCTCCTCGTCCTCCTCCTCCTCCTCCTCCTCCTCCTCCTCGTCCTCCTCCTCCTCAGTCCTCCTCCCCCTGCTCCTGTGCCCTCCTCCTCCTGAACCTCCCTCCTCCCTCCTCCCTCCTCCTGCTCCTCCTCCCGCGTGCCCCCCTTCCTCCTCGGCGGGGCGGCAGCGGCGTTGCGTTTTTCACGCGAGGGGTTGCGTGGCACCCGTCCCCAGGATGCGGGATTGTGCCACCTACCTGACGTGGGTGCCTCAGGTGGGGCAGTGTCTCCTTGGGTGTGCTTCCCGATTGGCCCTCGGGCTGAACAACGCAGTCCAAAGCAGTACTTCCCGAGCACCAGACCAGGTTCTGCACTTGCTCCTCGAAATGTGGTGGCGGCAGGGCTTGGGGAGCGCGGCACTGTCCCCCCTCCGCCTTCGGGACGACGGACGTCACCGGACATGATGTGGCACCGCGTGTGCTCGAGCGAGGTGGCGAACCGCCACCCTCCAGGGAGGCATCGGGGGCTCAACGACCTCAATCGCGGCATCCGCCATTACCGCCAATCCTCCTGCCGCTACCCGAAGAGTATGGTTCTAGATTCTAGCGGAGGAGGAGGAGGAGGAGGAGGAGGAGGAGGAGGAGGAGGAGGAGGAAGAGGAGGAGGTGGAGGTGGAGGACGAGGAGGATGGGGAGGAGGCGAAGGAGGAGGCGGAGGAGAGAGCAGGTGGAGGAAGAGGAGCAGGCGGAGAGTGGGGATGTGGGGGAGGGGGAGCAGAGCAGGGAGGGTCAACAGGGGTTGGCCGACACGGAGCTGCTCAAAGCCTCGAGGTCCAACCTGAAATTCCACCGACACGCACCAGACCAGATTGCTGTACGGAGTTCATTTTTTTCGACTCGAGCGTTCGGCCGGGAACTTTGGCTCAGCGTGTCGCTACGCTGGTTCTTTCATCAGGGAAAGAAACACACAGACACAATTAATCGTAGATTCCCCAGAAAATACGGGAAACTATGAGAAGTGGGGGGAAGACAAAAACCCAGAACACATAGGAAACTATGGGGAATCCTTTTATTTCTGTGTATTTATTTGTGTGTCCTGGGGCCCCTTCATTATTGTCCATCACACGCTGCGGCGCGACCCGCCAACCACGGCCCGGTCCCCAGGCGTCGACGCCGCGAGTCTTTCCGAGTTTCCCGCCCCCGGGAGCGGAGCTAGGGGGCCACATGCGAACCCTACCCCTACCCCCCACGATTTCTGAGGGGGAGGGTGGGGTTCACTTCGCTCGGGAGCTCCCGAACGAATCGAACCCCACCCTCCCCCTCAGAAATCGTAGGGGGTAGGGGTAGGGTTCGCATGTGGCCCCCTAGGAGCGACACGCTGTCCGCTCGGAGGGCGTGGCGTGTTGCCGGGGCCGCCGCCGCTGCGGCACGCTCCTCAGGAAAGGTTCCCGGCCGAACGCACGTGCACCGTCTCGGCGGCCTCGAGCTCTCAAACTGGGGTGCGTCTTGCCACTGCGCGCCCGGCGCTGCGACTGGGCGCCGCCACTCGGGTGTCGAGCAACGGGGGTGCGTCAACCATCGCCCTCGTTCTTCCAGACCTTCCGTGGTGACCTTCCACACCCCTGCGCTTCGTGGAACGCTGCGTTCTCTTGAGCGCCCGGAGGCTTTCAATAGTCTCAGGTGCATCACCTTCCGCGCCTTCCGCGGAGGTCGGAGGGCATGGAAGGTGGAGTTGGAGGGAAATAGGGGGGGGGGAGAAAGGTGGATCTTCTTTGTCCTACAGGGGCTCAATAAATGGCCCCCTAGGGGGCAACAGGGGCACGAAAGGTGCACGTTTCTCCCCCCCCGTGTGTTATCGCCCCCCATGAACCATGAATTAGCGTTTTAAGTCGGGCCTGTCCCTCCGCAGGAGGAATATTCACACCGAGTCAGAAAATAATCCGTGGGCGGTTTGTTCTTACCATTTTTGGGCACGTTTGAACAAATATGTTGTTTTGCTGATGTTCAGTTGTTCGTCCAACATCCGCCTGTGGGGGACCACGCCCGACCCAAAATTAGCGCCCGAGCCACGGGGAGCAGCAGCAGCACCGAAGCTCCCCCCGCGGCAGCGCGGCCTGCGCGGTGCGATGGGCACGGTGCCCGGCGGCCGGCGCCACCGTGGCTGCGCCTGGTCGCGCCAGACCCCAGCGGGGGCGTTGGTTCAGGAATGTACCCAGGGGCTTCAGACCCTGCTGGGATGACCGTGGGGGGTCCTAAGTGGATAGGGGGGTTACAAGTGGATGCCAAGGTGGGTCATATCTGGCCCAACCTGGCTTATAGGTGGGTTATAAGTGCCCTAAGTAGCTTAGGAGGGGTCGATAACTCGGCTAAGTGTGTGGAGCCCACCTAGCCCAGATCGTTAACCCCCCTAAGCTACTTAGGGCACTTGTAACCCACTTATAAGCCAGGTTGGGCCAGATATGACCCACCTTGGCATCCACTTGTAACCCCCCTATCCACTTAGGACCCCCCACGGTCATCCCAGTGGAGGGTTCCTTCTCTGATGAGGGCGGCGGTGATGCCCGTGGCCGATCCACGATCGGAGTTCCACCGGCTTCCAGACCCTGGGTTCCTTGTCCAAGGGTTCCTTGTCCAATGCCTCCACCGTAGCCGTTTCGGCGCGAGCTGATCTACCTGAGCTGGCGACAGCTCGTCTTTGTGCTCACTTACTTCGAAGCGGCGTAGTGGGCACGAGCCAACTCACGACGACGGCCCTTCCCGCGGCAGCCCGCGGGCCATGGCGCCGGCACAACTGGACCCTGCTGGTATCATCCCAGGCGCGAAGCAGACGCCTCTCTGGTCCTGCTCCTGTGGCTGTGATGGGAACTGGGCGTCCAGGATCCGCTGCCGCCAGTGCAGGAAGGCGGCTTCCACCAAGGTGGTACAGGCAGCCAAGCGCTCGGCAGCAGCAGCAGAAGGGCCAGCACCCAGCACGTCTCGCCCGCGCGGGGCCTGGGCGCAGGGGCCGCCAGGACAAGGGCAGCTTCTGAAGCAGCTGCAGAGGCTGCAGAAGCAGGTGGCTGAGCTCAAGGGCGAGGCCCCGCCGCAGTCGAAGCCCTGGAAGGAGCGCAAGCCCCCGTCCAAGAAGGCTGCGGTGGAGGGCCCTGGCATCTCCTACAAGGACGTTGTCACCTTCTTGGCGAAGGAGGGGCTCGACACCAGCGCGGTGGAGGCAGCAGAGAAGGCGGCGGAGTCGAAGACGCTCGAGAGCAAGCAGCCTTCGGCTCAGACGCAGCGCTGGCGGGTCAAAGCCATGCGCGACAAGATCAAGAAGCTCGAGACCCGAGAGGCCGCCATTCAGGAGCAGCAGGCCGCCCTCGACAAGGAGCTCCAGGAGCTCAAGGTCTCGATCGAGGAAGAAAACCAGAAGCTTACCGAGGGGGGGGCCAAGCTGGTCAAGCTCCAGGCCAGCGAGTTCCCCGACCCGATCCAGGTGGTCGCAGCGGGCTTGGACGAGGACGTTGCAGCCAGCCAGGAGGCCAAGGACGCCCTCGCAGTCCTCGCCCGTCTGCAGTCAGCAGCCAGCGACAGCAAGAAGGCAGCGGCCGCCGCCAGGGATGCTGCTGCTCCTCCTGGTGCTGCTGCTGGGGCGGCAGACGCAGGCGGTGAGCACACACCAGTGCCAGAATCAGACGACATCGACATGGAGCTGCTTGGAGGCGAAGGCTGGGAGGAGAAGCGCGAGGAGTATGCAGCAGCCTCAGCAGCCCTCAGGGAAGCGGCCCCCGAGCAGCGGGAGGAGGCGAAGCGCAAGCTGCGTGACGCTCTGGACGCGCTCTGGGCTGCAGGCAAGCGGCCGCGGCGCCTTTGAGCCCAGGCCCATCGAGTGCTCGGAGGAGCAGAGAGGCCAAGGGACAGACCTCGTCTTCGAGGCGTCGAGCCGCCCCCAGCCTCGGGCTAAGGCGGCAGGAGCGGCGGCGCACGGCGCAGCCGTGGTGCTCCAGCTGGCCAAGTTGGCGCGGCCCGTGGCGAAGCAGGGTGCCAGCATCCTCAGCATCAACGGCTCCACGTGGGCGGAGTCCCAGACGGCCCTCGAGATGCTGCTGGACGCGAAGGCCAGGGACGACGTGTACCTCATACAGGAGACGCGGTTCACCTCGGCGCTAGCTGAGGGCTCGGCCCGAGCCTGGAGCAAGAGGAACAGCATCAACGCGGCCTTCGGCGAATGCCGCAGCACAGGGACGGCTGTTCAAGCCGTCTCCTCAGGGGTCGCCGCGTCGGTCGGTGAACATCGCGGAGTGGCCAGGATCGACCAGACCTGGGGCCAGCACGCCTCCAGGATAGTGGCGAGGCGCGTCGCCTTCGGGGACCTGGTGGTGGTGTGCGTGAGCCTGTGCCTGCAGTGCTCGGTCAAACTCAATGAAGCCAACGTGGACCTCTTGAGCGAACTGCAGGGCTTCCTCCTTGGCCTGAGCGAGCCCTTCGTTGTGGGCGGCGACTGGAACTTGGAGCCCAGCCTCCTCGGCAGCTCGTGGTGGCCACGAGCTGTGGGAGCAGTGATTGTGGCGCCCGATGGGCCGACGTGCGGGGAGAGCACGTGCGATTTCTTCGCGATCTCGGACGCACTGGCAGGGCTAGGGCCGAAAGTGACGGTGCTCAGACAGGCGACGACGTACCCGCACATCCCAGTCAGGCTCACCTTTGAGAAGCTGTGCAGCCAGGCAGGGGTCTGGGTGCAGAAGGGCCCCAAGCCGTTCGAGCTGCCAGGAGCGAAGCAGGAAGGGATCCAGCCTGAACCTGAGGAAGAGGACTCCCTAACGGACTGGAAGGCGCCGCTCCTGGACGAACGCGGGAGCCCGAACGAGGCGATCAAGGAGTTCTTCGACAAGGCCGAGGGGCGCCTGCTCCACCTCTTCGGCATCAAGGACGGGGCCAAGTACCGTGGCAGGGCGCAGGGGCCCAAGAGTGTGCCCAAGCAGCTCATCCACCTCCTGCGCTCGGAGGAGGTGCGCAGGACCAGCCCGCTCACGCGCTG